CGCGTCCACCACACACAGCTTGGCAGAGACCCAACCACACGCCGGCAGCGCCACGGAGCGACGCTCGCGGAAAGCAGGGCAGGAGCACCGCCGCACCTGGTGACGTCACTTCCGAGCGACAGCGGTTCCCCCGCGCGCCCTCTGAGCATGCGCGGCGGAAGCTGGCAGCGGATGCCCCCCTCACTGTGGCCCAGCCTCGGTTGAAAATGAATGTCAAGTTCAGACAGTTCAGCGAACTTCCGGGAAACGATGCGCGGTGGTTTAACGGAGGGGAGGTCTGGCCCCGTGTTAAGGCAGAAGTCAGTTTATTTCTGCAAGTGTTGCCAATGAGCATTAAACTACCAAACAGGCCACAAGCCAGGGAAGCGTGACTGAAATAGTTGTGCAGTGTAGACGGTGCTGTCGAGATTTGTACCCGACCGGACTTTTAAAAGCTATTTATAAAGTTTTTTTTTTAATCTGAAGGACGCATGCATCATCACAGAAGCATGGAAATATTTTATAAAGCGATTGGAGATTATACTGGGGGACCCAAGATGTGTTTTTCTGTCATGGTCTGATCAGCTATGAAAAAGTGGTTTCTTTGATGATAAAAATTCTTTGTAATATAAAAGGGCATTATGTTTTAAACACACATTAAAGTTTGAACTCATTTTGAAATTACCTTTGAAAATAACCTTGCCTATTGCTACTTGCTTAGTATGTCACATATATGTATAAACTCATTGTTCATTGCTTTGCACATGTAAGTGTTCTATATAACTGACATGGTCATTCACTAGGCAATTGTTTCTATTTAGGTGTCTTTCCCCACTGTGATAGAAATGATCAGTGTTCCCTTTTTTGGATAAACCTCACTTCTTCCAGTAAACTACCACTCAAAAATCTCAACTTTCCTTATTTGTTTAAAATCGGTTCTTTCCTAATTTCATACACATATATGATGTTCTTTGATTATAGTCTTCCCGCATTACCCTCTTTTATTCTCTTCCTCCTCCTTTCCCTCTTCTTTTGTGTGGCCCATTGCATTTAAATCTCCCAGCATTCCCGAGCTTGGGTGGGGGATTATTTACTTTCCTTCCTCCAGCAACCACTTAGTGCCTACAGCTTGGTGAGAAGTATACTTACCTGCAAATTTCATGATTTCATTTTTCTTTACAGCTGAATATTATTCAGTTGTGCACATGAATCACATTTGTATTATCCATCCATCAACTGAAGGGTATTTAGGTTGTTTCCGTTTATTAGGTATTATGACTAGATCAGCATCTGTGTAGAACGATGTCAAGTCCTCTGGCCATACGCAGAGGTGTGGAGCTAGGTCATCACGTAGATTTTGGAGCAATATTGGCTGTGTATGGTTTCTTGTATATGGTCCCCAGTTGGTGGAAGCATTTGGTAATGGCTAGGAGGTGTTACCTTATGTCATTGGGGGTGGTCTCTGAGATTTCAATAGCACACACCATTCCCAGTTAGATCTCTCTACCTTATGTTTATTAACCAGATATAACCTCTGAATTACTGCTCCAGTGACATGCCTACATGCCTGCTGCCAAACTCCCCACCCCATGGTCATGGGTCTGCAAGCCCCAATAAACTCTTTTCTGTAAATTGCCTTGGTCATGGTATCTATCCTAGCACAGCAATAGAAAAGTAACTAAGAAAAGTGTACTGCTTTCTCCTCCACTGTGTGGGTGATTGAGAAAGTCGTGTGAAACAAGTCCATTCATTGTCTGCATTGTATCTTAGGGGAACAAAAGCCCATATAACTGAACCACTCGTGAATGTGTCTAGTACACAATGCAGGCAAATCCTCTGTGGTATATCCCTGTAGAATGTGCTTACTGAGTGTCAGCTGTCAGGTCTACAAGTCTGTCCTTACCCAGAACCCAAGAAGACTTGCTTTGTTTACAATTAGTACAAGAGGATTACTACCATTATTGGAGGGTAGAATAAATCTGAATTGTGCATGGCACACTATTTCTCAGTGTTCCAGCAGCCAATAATATGAACAATGAACTAGCACACCCTTTACTGACGTTTTCCCTGTTCTGTTTCCCTCATTCTGCCATTCCTGTCACCTCTATATCCCAAATGTCCCCCTGTCCCGTAGTCTTTGTCCCAGGTTATACGTCTGTGAGTAAAGAAAAGAAAGACTATGTATGGTGGGTTTACTCAGAGTCTACAAATGTATGTTTAGTGTAAAAAGCATATAAATGTGTTACTTGTGTTCTTCCTAAAACAGAAAAGAAGGAACTTTTCCAGGGTCTTTGCCATGATAAAAGGCAACTCTTTTTTATATGGAAGCAGACATTTTTTACACCTTGATACAATGTTAAGTCTTTATTAAGTAATGTACACCTTATTATAGTTAGGAAATTCTTGACTGTCAGAAGAACCTTGGATATATAATATCTTAATTGTACCCATTACAGAGGGAAGGATAACAGAAAAGAGATTAGGACTGAACTTCCCAGAACCAAAGTAGAAAAATATATGAAAGTTATGTGAAAGTGGAAAAAAAAAAGAATTCTGCAAAATTTTACAAGTTAAAGGGAAAAAAAGTAACAATAATAATAATAACAAGCATCATAAAAAGATGTTGTAGTGACCATAACAGATATATGGCACATAGTCGATACACATGGATACCACATAATAAATGCACTTCAAGTTGAAGTTTGTTTACTTGTAACAACATGATACACATACATAAATACATACACACAATACCCCTGGTTTGCAAACTTCAATACCAAGGAAGAAAGAAATTAGTGTACCATAAGATAGACCTGGAGCCATCAGAGATAAGATACACATACATAAATACATACACACAATACCCCTGGTTTGCAAACTTCAGTACCAAGGAAGAAAGAAATTGGTGTACCATAAGATAGACCTGGAGCCATCAGAGATAAAGAAACTCAACTTACTTCACTTCTGTAGAAGCTGCTAGAAAGGCCAGTCTGCCCAGCAGTTTGTTGGAGGTTTGGTGAATTCTTTGAAGAAAATGAATGCTGGAGTATTTAGATAACAAGCTAGAAAGGCCAGTCTGCCCAGCAGTTTGTTGGAGGTTTGGTGAATTCTATGAAGAAAATGAATGCTGGAGTATTTAGATAACAGCACTAAAGTCCAGGACTCTCCTCTACCTGTCCTCAACCTGCTGATAGCTGGCTGGTGTGGCTTTGGCTCTCAAAAGGCCCGGTTACTCCGCATTTTTTTAAAAATGGTTTTAGTGTGGTGTGATTACACATGGCCTTAATCCCAGAACACAGGAGGAAGAGTAGGTGGCTCTCTGTGAATTAGAAGCCAACCTAGTTTATACAGTTAGTTCCAGGCCAGCCAGGATTATACGGTGAGGCCCTGTCTTTAACAACAACATAGATTTCTCCTATCAATTTAGTGAGACCCTCACCTAAGGAAAACCATTGCTGATATGCAACTTTTAGCTGATCACTTCTAATAATGGATAACCCCTTAACCCTAGAGGCTCCTTACAGGACTGAATTTGCGTTCTCATTCTGAAATATAAGATGGATATTTGAGAGCTATATTCTAGATAAAACATAAGCCAAACCTTTACTTTTACAGAGCTTTTATGCACCTCAAAACCTCCTTAAAACACTGCTTCACATGTACACATTTGCTGAATTAAAACTTTCATTGCATACCAAAATGTTCAGTAAGTTTGTCTTATTCTTTAGCTACTTTAATATTAGATTCAGTTGTAAATGAGACACATGGGAAAGAAAAATGGAAAAATTTCTATTCCAAAAAAGAATTGAACAGTTAAGTTTAGTGACAGATTAAGGCTCTTTCCAATTCTCCTACATATTTTCCTATAATTTATCTTTTTGGCTTTTCTTACCCAATGTCTAACAAAAGCTAAACAAAACAAAAAATAAATTATGTGTTTAGTCCCACAAACTGAGACTGTAATAGCAAAAAGAGACAGCACTTAAATTCTATCTCAACTGTTCACACACATTTCAACAATGGTTACAAATCCGTACTCTGCTTTGGAGTTCTCTCCTACTTCATTTTTTAGAAAAGTTCACCCCAGATAGGTTGGTGAAGAAAGACTCCTTTCTTAGAAGGAAGTTTGCGATAAGCTCCCAAGTGACATCGGAGCAGAAAGAAATGCTTGGTTTCTCTTAACGAATTATACAGGACTGCTACTGCTGACTGCAGGGCTGGACATGAGCACAGAACAGCTTTTAAAGACTACTTCATTTTCACCTGAAGACTGGGACAGGGCAGCCACTGCGTGTACTTTCAAAATTTTTTGTTTTCTGAACTCAATATTTACATCTAGATTTCTCATTTGAGAAAAAGTAAAACAATCCTCTTGAAACCATGGGCAAAGTTTATGTAAAATAAATTAAAGTGCAGAAAATTATAACAGTTGGTCACAAAGACCAGCATCATAATGTAGCTGGGCGTATAAATACTGTAACTGTCACTACCATACTGGACAACCACCTCATCATGTCTCAGGAACACACATACAAACACTTGTGGATTATTACACATGGACATTGGCACTTCCACTTCCACCTCCACCTTCCAGGCCCTCAGCAGACTGGGAGGAAGGAGGCCGGGAACTTCTAGGGTGAGGCTGACCATTGAGTCCCACTTGCATGCCTACACCGTGACCTGTCTGGGATGCTGCATCATCCGATTCCCAGCGTTCCAACTCTTCCCGTACCAGGCGCTCCATCTGCTCCCTGTGGACCTCGCTGTCACGACCCAGTCTCTCATCCTAATGAAGAAATTAAATAAATAGCAGAAACGAAGGCACTGCATGCTACAAGTTACATATTCTACAATAAACTGGAGTTGGGAATTTTAGGTGTTCACTTAATTGTATCCTCCATTGCTGGTAGCGCCCTTAGAGGGGGAAGTATCAAGAATCACGCCTCCAGGTTATCATCTGATCTACGGTTATATACATGAGTACAGCATCAGGTTAAGAGTTACAAAACGGGACAGCTACCTCTGTGCTCTATAGAACTAAAGAATGTTTCTGCTCAAGGGGAAGAATCTGAAAATGAAAGTGAACAGTAACAATATTTGTGAATGACCAGTGTCATGGATGTCCATTTCTATGGATAGACACCTTGTCCACCAGTCAGCTTAAGCTCATGACCACTCACCTCAGCCACTCCATCCAGCAGCCTTCCTAACACCTCTCGCCTCTTCAGCTTGGCCCGTTCCATGATCTCAAGCTTGACAATCACAGCATCAATCTTGGACACGATGCTGCCTATGGAGTGCTCCATGCGGTCCACACGCCTCACCAGTCTGCAGGGGAAGACAGCGGGCACAGCTGGTCATGACAGTAGCCACCGCCTGTCACATCTGTGTCAGCCCATTTGACTCATGCGTGGAAGCCAAGGTAACGTGATAATACAAAACACTTTCTACGTGTTTGCAAGACTTAGAGACAAACTGTAAGAGGCTGTTTGAGGGAATGGTAGCCTCCTTCCTTTTTTATAAAAATAAAATTGTGTCTGAAGGCTTAAAAGCCTTTCTTTACAAGTACCATTTTTAGGTACACAGAATTGCTTTTTAATAGCATAGCACTGAACAGTGATGATGTTAAAGAATCAGTAGGAGATGATGTAAATAAACTATAATTCACCTAGACAATAGGTGTCGAAGGTGACACTAGAATTTGTACTGCATCATGTTTCCTGAAATAGTTATAACCAAATAAAACTGTTAGAAAATAGCATATTCTTTTAACATATCATTATTTTGAATAAAAATGTTTAAACGCCTTAAAACATGTCAAATAGCAACAATTTGAATTCTCCCTCCCTGGCCCCTCTCCTTGTGATCCTAGTGACTGAAGAGTGTTGCACATAACAGGTCAGTATTCAGCCAGACTAGATGCCCTGGAGACAACTTCTCAAATGACAGTATAAGAATACTAACAAGGAGCCGGGCAGTGGTGGCACATGCCTTTAATCCCAGAGGCAGGCAGATCTCTGTGAGTTTGAGTCCAGCTTGGTCTACAGAGTGAGTTCCAGGAAAGCCAAGGCTACACAGAGAAACCCTGCCTCAAAATAAAAAACAGCCAAGGCTACACAGAGAAACCCTGCCTCAAAACAAACAAACAAACAAAAAGAACAAAAACAAACAAACAAAAAAATGATACTAACAAGGATAGTTGTTGGAAAAATTATTTTTAAAACCTCAATCCTTTTAAAGGTCTAATAACATATGACAAATGAAAATCATTTATCAAAAAGACAACTAAAGAAAAGTGAGAACTCATGGCATTTAGAAATGGTTGAATAAGATATCATCAAATAATATTTTCCCCAGGTTTGATGAGAACCATTGCAAATTCGAAACACTCATAAAACTGCAAGCAGGATAAACTCAGAGGTAGACATACACAGTGAAGGTACAAAAAAATAAAGAAAAAAAAATGAAAGCATCAGGAAAATCAATGGTTTATGATATACAAATTATTTCAACGAGCTATGTTCTCATGAGAAAACCAATGCATCTCACTTAAGATAAAGACATAATGAAAGGCCTGATCCATTGAGAATTACTTATTACAAACGTGTATGCACCTAACAGCTTCAAATTACACTGAGCGGAACCTTCTAGAATTAAAGGTGAATAATTTACTAATAATACAGATGTGATTACCCCGCTTTCAAAAGCAGATAGAAGCCAACATGCATAAAGTCAACAGAGAAGCAGGAGACAGCAACTGACAGGCATCTACAGAAAACTAAGCAGCAGCAGAATGAACATTCTCCTCAAGGACAGACCCTGTTAGGCCCTAAGGCATGTAAAAGCACTGGCATACACATGTAAAAGGAGACATAGACTCTAAAATTTGCTAAGATATTTTGGTTGGAAGAAACCGAGAAGATATTAATGTTGTCCCTGTCCCCTATTATTTTATAATGAAGATCTTTTATAAAAAGAAAAATACTCTTCAAACTTATTTGAAAGAAACAATATTAGTCATGAAACGTCTAGCTCCATGAGATGCCATGTCATCTTGTTTTGATCCTGGTCAACACAAAACTGGAAAAAGCATTTGTACTTACACCTGAAACTCCTCATAGGAAACCCCGCTGGAGATGCTG